CTGGCAGGCCTGGGCACTGCTGGGGTCTGTGCCCACAAGGGACCGCGGCGGTACCCAGAGTGGCACTGCCCACAGACTGCCTGTTCCCCGGGGCGCTCTGGCACTGACGACAGACTGGCAGCAGCAGTCTGATCCTTCCACCTCTTTTCGTTTTAATCATAAAATGAAAAAAAACCACCTCACTTTTTCCTCCCACCAGGCTACTGAGTCCTTTGATTTCCATCACCGCTGCTCCTTAAATGACCTTCTTTCCCTTTCACAGTCTGCCTCTAAGCTAACGATGCCGGGTCAGGTGTGGGATCCATGCTGGGAACATGAGAACTTGTTGCTCTTCAAAACAGCTGTGTTGCAGAACCCTTGCCTAATACAATGTATGTGTAGTCAAAAACATAAAGTTTTGTTTTCCTTTTAAAAGCTGTGATGCAGTCTTCTGTGTGTGTGTGTGCATGCGTACGTGAATGAATTTAAAAACATGAACCCCAGGTTTTCAGGAAAATAACCCCAAAGCAGTCTGTTCCTGGCTAGTACATAAGTGCTGTGCCTTTGCTGCGCTGAGCTGGTAACATTGCATGTTAAAGGCTTTCACTACTGATAAACTTGTATCTAAAGCAACGGTGAGCTGGTGGTACAGGGATCACTGCCTGTGTTCCGTCAGAAAACGTTCCCCAGTCTGGGAAGCATACCACATCAGAGGCATGATGCCTCAAAAACAAGGCACCAGAAACCAGCTGGTTTTTACTTTCCTTTGTAGTACCTTCCATCCTACAACAGCCAGTTCTTACTCGGTAGCTAATAATCCATAGTGCTGCAAGGAAGGGCACAGGTGAGAATGGAGTGCTTTCGCTTGTCTCTGATGGAGAGCCAGTCCGTGAGGTGGCGAGTGCCGCCACCACGGGTAAGGGGAGCGCCTCAGCCTCGCTGCCAGTGCCGTTTGGGCAGGCGGGGTGCCGGAGCAACTCCAGGGGCTACGCGCAGGCCCTTTCGCTTTACTCCTGCGACCAGAGGAAGGAGACGGTGGCGTGAGAAGGGGCGGGAGCGTTGGCACTGTGCAGCGTTGGCCATTAAATGCTCATGTGCGAGAGGCTTCTCGGCCCGCCAGCAGTGAAGGGCAATGTTAGCACGGCATCGGGGGAGGTAGAGAGGGAGCACAGGAGAGTGGATGGGTACATGGAAGACAGAAAAGAAAAAATAATAAAATAATAACGGAAATAACATTACTGTAGCAAAAAACTTTGGCCTCTTTCTTCAACTTTCAAAGGAAAATAGCTATTACGGGAGGAAAAAAGGTGTCCTGAAGTAAGAATCTGGAACTCCTTAGAGTAACGTTGCTACGGTGCTTTGGGCCACTGGCCCAAAACATGGCATAATAATAGTTTCTTGTAAGAGCTGGAAAGGAATCCTAGACAACGCTGGCCCCGGCTTGCCGGCATTGCACTAGTTAAGGACTTGAGTCTGGCAGGTGCTGGCCTAAGTTCAGAAAAGCACTTGAATGTGTTCAGCTTCAGTTAAGCCTGCCAGACGTTCTGAATGCAGTGGGGCTGTTCCTGTGCTTACCTAGTGCTAAGCCCACGCTTAAGTTGGCAGGTAAACCAGGCTCAGAGTGACCAGCTCTCTGAGCTCTATTTCGTCAGTTTGTGTGTTAAATCACTATAATAAAAATAAAATAAACCCCACACAGAACACCTCTGAATTGCTGTCCTTATGCCTCGGCTGTGGGTACCGGTGACAAGTCCCACCAGCCATACCAATGCACCAGGCTCCTTTAGTTAGGCCAGGTAACACAATCGGCCATGCTTTTCTCAGTAGGAGTTTAGGATCAGTTCTTGAAACACCCGATACAGAGAGGACAGCTATCCCTCGTCAAAACCCCAGTTCCTACTGTCGTGTGTCCCCGTGCGGAGCCGGTGGGAATCCCAGCCTTGCTTGCTGCCAGGCGCACGTCAGCTCTCACATGATCACGAGGTTCGGGTGTAAAAACAGACCGTGAACTGAGCAAATGCCATGCAGTGACCATGAAGAGATGGGTTTTGCTTGCTTGTCCCCAACATTCTTGTCACTTGCTGCTGATGGGTTCACAGCTGGGTTTAGAAAATTATACTTGAAAGATGAAAAATAGACAGTTGCTAGAACTGAACCAGCCTTCAGTAAGGAGTCCTGTTCTTTACAGACGATGCCTTTTTCTGCTCAGGAGCCGAACAATGCCTATTGACTGGCCATAAACTTCTCCAGGGCAAGAAATGCTTGTCTAGGCAGATGGTATTCACAGATGGGTTGGCCCGTAGAGTCTTTTTGCTCCTTCACGGTCCTCATAAGGTGCTCGCGGCCTGAAAGGAGTGTTTGGTGTAAGTGCTTTAGTGCCGTAGGTGCTTGTCTTTTGGAGGCGTCACCCAGGCCAGGGATTCCCTGAACGCTATCTTGGGGCTCTCGGGAGTTGATGACGGAGGCTCGTCAGGACGAGGGGTGCTCGAAGCCGAAACGGATGTACCACCAGCTGGGCTTGAACAGGTATGGCAAAGCCACGTGCCAGGGAAGTCTCATACATAGATGCCGAGTCTTGGCACGATTCCCACCAGGGGTATTTTCTGTTACTGAAGCTTGAACCAGCAGGTCTGATGATGCTGCAGTACCCATCACATGTAAATACAATTTTCCTTTTTTTTAATATATTTATTTTTCTACTCTTTTTTTTTTTTTTTTTAAAAAGGCAGTTCAGAAGATTTACATTGTACGTAACAGGGAAGTGAATAATACCAGCACTTATGGTTCCTTTTAGTTATGTTTTGAAGATGGCATAGTAGTCAGGTAGAATTGAACTGCTACGGTCTATGAAACCTAAAACCCAAGGAGGGGGCGGGAAGAAAAAAAGAGAACTAGTAAGATAATAGCCTCACATGCATATTGTACATAACAAAATTGAAGCAGTAATTGCTACAGTGACACAATTAGGCAGCTTGATTGCTGCAGCACCGGCATCAGCCATGCTGGCACTGCAGACCCTGAAGAGGGACTCACGCTTCCTTGGGCCTCGCCACACTCACAGCTCGTAGGCATAAGCTCTTTGCACCAAAATCTGCCGAAGACACCAATACGCTTTGGGTCCACCCCATCAGCTCCCTGAGCGAGTTATTTCAGACCTCTTTCAGACCACACCATGCCTGATGCCACAAAAAGTGTCTGGTTTAGCCAAACCTTAACGCTCTTCAGCCAGAAAGATTTACATACAGTTCAAGTATGATTACTTCTTAATGTTGGGGGCTAAAGAGACACGTAGAGCTAAACCAGCCACCCTTTCCGCACGTATACCCTGTGTCAGGACGCCTGGGTTTGTCAGATCTGCAAAGGTGGTGTTTTGTGGTGGTTTGTTTTTTTTTTTTTTTTTGTGTGTTGGTGTTTTTTTAAAGCTTTGATTTTTCACTCTATTATGAATTAATTACTGTGTCCCACTAGTAAAACAACACTCACATTCTTTGCTCAGCTCATGCCACTGCTTAATGACATGAATACCTCATTACCTTGCTAATGATTTTATAATGGTGATTTATCTCAGTTTGTTTAAGGGAACTACTGTTTTGTTTAGGCATGCTTCCTTCAAGTGCCTGTTTCCCAAAGCCACTTGTCTGACCAGTAAGTCCAGCTGACCTTCACACAAACCCTTAGTCCAGGGGCTCCTGTATTAGCCATAGCTCTGAGTATGCCTGCCCCAGACTGAGCGAGTCAAAGCCGCTTGGTGGCTTTCAGATACAGAGTCACCTCAAAGGGCCACTGCTCACCCCGGCACTGGAAAAGACACAAAATACCGCCCAGAAAACTGCGAACACCAAGCAGCTGGCCAGACTTCTGGAAAACTAAACCAGGCTCTGTGTTTGTGGGATGTTAAAGGCCCCATGGAACTCAATGGAGCTCTCGCTGGAGCACAACTCCTTGTGGCAACACCTCCTTTAAAAAAACCCAGCCTCGTCCTTTCCAAATTTGTCACCGCTCTCCGAGAGGAGGGAGCCAAATGATGTCCCTCAAAGGCTCAGTCACGGGGGTCAGCAGACCCAGGCCAAGTGCACGCCCCAGAGCTTCTTCCAGCCCTCGTGGCTCAAGAGCAGCCGCCTCGTCCCTAGCCGCAGCAGCACGCCGGTACTGCAAACGCCAGCGCACCCATCCTAGCTTGTGCTAGGAGGAGAAGGGAGATACAGTTTTTGCAAGGGATTATATGCATAATGCATGTGGTGAATTTGAATATAATTATTAATTTATACACATAAAAATCCCCTAATGCAAAATTAATTTTGTCTTAAGCTTTTCTGTATTTTTCTTAAAATTATTGACTGCATTTTTTATGAGCACTTAGCTGATAAATGTATTAATACAAGGGCAGCTCCAGTTTTGCACCAGCTCTCACGGTCACTTCTTTTCAATACCTAACACTTGACTTTTTAATGTCTAACAGTGAGCGGGGGGGTGGGGGTGGGGGGGTTTAACGCTGATCTGCAAAGGCCTGACTTCAGCTGAAATGCCAGGACTTCAGCCCAGCACCAAAGCCCGAGCAGACTCAGCACGGGCTGTGCCCTGACCGCCCAGCGTGCCTCGGCCCTCGCCTGTCAGAGAGGAGAGTTGTTCCTTTGGGGTCATGGAGAATTCAGTCAGTCTCTAGTTTTTAACTAAAAAATGCCTAAAAGCATAAAAAAATAGTGCCTCTCTCATAACGTCAATCTTGCTATTTCCCCCCCCCCCACATCGCCTGTGGCAAGACGTGAAGGCCAGGACTGCAAGATCTTTGAGGGGACGTGCGTAGTGCGCACAGTTCAGCGGGGCCCGAGGAGCGTACGCTCAGTCGTACCTTCCTACCTGCTGGCTCTGCAGGAGTTCAGACACCAACACTATTTACTTTTCGTAGCAGAAGAACAGACATGCAGCTAGAGCACGATGATTTAAAGAACTAAAATAAAAGGTCACACCTTACTAAACAGATGGCATGTGCCTGCGTATATCCTGCCGTGAACTGGGGCAGCATGACTTCATCTGTGTGAGTTTCTCTACAGCCTGTAATTCTAACTGTTGTCTAGATCTCGTGGTGTGTTCAGTGGGTGTTGGAGAAACAACTGATGGGTGTTTTTTTTTCTTTGAAAACAACAGTATTCATTGATAGACTTAAAAAAATTCATCTCAGCTTACCTTGTTAGATGCCTACTTAATTCATGAACTTCCATTTCAGTGCTTTTAAATTCATTAAGCTCTTTTCGAATGGCTGCCTGCAAAGGACAAATAAACTCATAAATGTATAAATGAGAGAGATCAAAATAAGTTCACTTTGTTCTCAAAAGAGTATATTAAAAGAAGTGAAGCAGATAGATAGATAGTAGTATCAGAGAGAGAAAGAAAAACATAAAAAAAGACTTTAAAATGTGAAAAGGAACAGAGATAAATATGTTCTAAATCACATAAAGGGAAGAGAGAAATGCTTCGGTGGAATGGCTCAATTTGAAAAAGTAGCGTCAACGATGCAGATACAGAACCCAATTCTGGCTTATTATGGAAACACTTTCATGTACAAAATCCAAATTAGCATAAACATGAGAAAAAAAACCAACGTGCACCACAGTTTCTCAAACACTGCAAGCTGTTTCAGAGCTGGACTGCGAGTAAACTGGGCCTGGATCCTGCCAGACTCATATCTGAGCTGTCTCCCACCTTTCTGCGCTCCTGAATTTCCTTCGGTGACATTACCTAAAGTGGTTGAGGTTACTTGGGAAGGCAAGAGGGATGCCTGGCTCCCTGCCCTCCCCTCTGCCTCGGGCTGAGCCCCTCTGCCCTCCTCCTCCCTTCTGACCCAGCCGTGCCATTTACTGAACCGATTCAACACACTCATCCCGCCCGCAGAAAACTAGCCACAGGCCGTTGCACTCAGCATCCGCAGGACAGCCAGTTACCTACAGCCTCTATGGCTTGCCCATGAGGGAAAAGGAAACCGGGGTGACTGGCAGGAAGAGAAATACTGAATAAAAAAATAGAGGGGGGGGTGACTTGGAGGGACTCAGCTTTGTGGTAGAGACAGCACTCAGCAGAACTGGCTCAAGGCCCACGCCCAAAGTCCAGACTTCGGCCAGCCCTGTGATATTTGTAGCTCACAAGTGGGTTTCACTGTGAGCGTCTGGTGAGGCCGTGCAAGGTGGGTGCTGTGGCCGACGGCTCCAAGGGGTGTCCGCTGCCTTTCCGTGTGATGCTGAGACCGTCAGCATCGGCGGCTGCTCCAGTCGGCAGTACTCCTGTCTGGCAGGAATTTTTCTCGATGAAGGAAATCTAAACTAATATGAACAGCACGAGCCCAAAACAGGGCTTTCGCATCAGCCACTAAGCCAGCCACCAACTACCTTTGCCTTGACAAGCCCCGAGTGATAGATTTTGTGAGTGTGAGCTACAGAAAAGGCCCCTTGTGCTCTTTCTGCACAGCTTTGGTTTTTAATTTACCTTAGAAATGTCTGTCAGGCTCTGCCTCCATCTCTCAGGCCAGAGCGAGGCCTGGGCAGCTGCTCAAGTTTCTACCTTCAGCAGACCAATTTGCTACTGAAGTGCCTGTGAAGGAGCCCACGCCGGCTGCTGATACCCACAAGGTCTGGAATTTACTCCCCCCTGCATCCCTCATCTGTTGGAGAGATTTAGAAGTGCCCTTTTTATTCCTCTAACAGTCACACCTGGTAAAGATGAAGTCAGACTGAAGGCAGTTCCCT